ATCAGCCAATCATTGACCTTTCTCCAATTCTCTATCATCTGAATTCTAACTGGCCTCACCTGAATGTCATCAACTCTGCCCTATGAAGATGGTTTAATTTTACTCACTCGTTGCAAAGTATAGCCACAGTTTATTTTAGTGAATACCGCAGGTTCATTTTTTCCTACTGGTACCTGTTTGACCTGGCTTGTTTTTTGACCTTGTTTTTTGTCTTTGTTTTTTTTTTTTTGGGCTTACTCTACTGTTTCTCGTGTTCTACCTCTCAGTTTTGACCTCCATCTGGCCCTCGACTATCCCCTGTGTTTGGTTGATCTTTGTTGCATTCGAACAGGGGTGTCCAGTCTTATCCTCAAAGGGCCAGTGTGGCTGCAGGTTTTCACTCCAAACAAGCTGGAGCTCCCCTGATTCTACTAGTTTAATCACTTGGTCTTAGTCTTCAAACATTTCATCAGGTGACCTCCTGCTTTGTTGGAGTGAAAACCTGCAGCCACACCGGCCCTCTGGGGATAAGATTAGACACCCCTGCATTAAAATCTTCAACTTTTGCTTTTACCACAAGTGCCTGGTCTGTTCTGCCTTGTTACACGCTGAAACCAACAGGTTTTGATGTGTTTAGATTTATGCAATGATGGACAGAGATGCACTCATTAGGTTTGATTTTGATTGGGGTGGGTTATGAGGACACTCTAGCTCCACTCATTCATCAGTGCAATTGCAGTTTAATGAAATGAAAGCAGCCAACAAACTGAGACCACAAACTTAACTAAACTGCACTTTGTAATGATTATATTTAACAGAGATGAAGACACAGAAGATCCGCTTAGCACTCTTTCTGCTTGCGCATCAAGCTGCAGTGTTAGGTGGTCATTGCAGAATTTCAGGAAAAAATGTTAAGCATCAATGTTTCAACATGCTTAAATATGTATAAGGATTCCCACTGTTTTCATTATATATAGTTATGTAAGACTCTACTCTTCAAATATAGTTAAATGAACCTGACAATGTTCATTTCAACTTTGACCTCATGGTGTCAAATCACCTTTCAAATACACATTTATGTATTATTTTCTCCTTCTTTTTCACTTTTAATATGTATTTTATATTTAAAAATAAGAATAGATCTGGTAAACTCTCATTAGGAACCTCAGGATGTCAAACCAATAAATAGTAAACAGAAATTTATTCTATGATGATTTTAATACTCATATACATCTATTAAACTTTCATTATTAGACCTCATAATGTCAAACCAACTTAGAAACATACAGATATTTATTTCTTGTGTACTACAACCTTACATATTATGGTCATTTAGACAAAAGTGAAATAGTGAAACTGCAGTTTTCATGTTAGGTTAGGAGTTAAATATAACAGTTCTGTGTACCAACCAATCAAGAAAACGAATTGCTAATTGAGAGAATGAGTTGCTAATTGTGGGAACAAATTAAGAAATGTGGCCACTCAATTAATGAATACTTTTTAAATTGTTTTTTATGAAACTTTTTGTTGCTCATTCAAATAATGACAAATTCAATAAGACGCATGCTTACTCACTCATTCACTCACTCACTCACTTACTCACTCACTCACTACCTGACTTAATTTACAATCTGCTTCAATTATTTTTGTATGATCTGGTTTCATTGTGAACCCACATACTTGTCAGTTCTATCATTAACTATATTGTAGAAATTGTTGTTTGGTCACATACTCTGTTACTTAGTCACTCACTCAGTAATTCACTGGGTCCGTCAATTGTTTGCTCACTTCGTCACTCAGTTGGTCTCTCACTTACTCGCTCAGTCACTAATTTGTTCACTTGTTTGGTCATTTACTCACTCACTCACTAAGTCACTTAGATATTCACTCAGTCACTTCTGGTCAGTCACTCACTCGTACAGCCACTTATTCCCTCACTTAGCCACTTGGTTAATTACTTGGTCACTCAATCATCACTCAGTCATTCACTTGGTCAGTTAGTCACTTGGTCAGTCACTCGTGGTCAGTTAATCAGTCGTTTGCTAACTTACTTGGTCATTTGCTTGGTCACTAACTCATCGGTCACTTACTTGTTCACTTACTTGGTCACTCAAATAAAATAAAAAAAAAAAAACAAGTATCTCCAAGTAAGTTAGTATCCTAACTTTCTTGGTCACCCACTCATTGGTCACTTGCTTGGTCACTCAATCGGTCATTTACTTGGTCACTCACTTGATTACTCATTCAATCACTCAGCCACTCATTCACTTGGTTGCTTCCATGGCCATTCATTGGTCACAAACTTGGTCACTCGGTTACATGCTCATTACTTGGTCACTCACTCCTTCAACCATTCACTTACTTACTTGATCACTCTCACTAGGCAATTCACTCATCACTCAGACACACACTCATTTTGTAACATGGACAAACACTTAGTTTCTCGCTGGCTCAGTCACTAACTAATTTGTTCACTCACTTGGTCCCTCACATATACTCATATCACTCAGTAACTCACTCACTCAAATGCCTATCCTGTCACTCACTCACTCCATCCCTCACTCACTTGGTTACTCACTTGGACACTAATTCATTCACTTGTTTGTCACTTGCTCACCCACCCACCCACCCACCCACACTTACCCCTCCTTTCCTCTCTCTCTCTTGCTCTCTCTCTCTCACATACACACACACACGCACACACACACACACTTACCCCTCCTTCCTTCCTTCCTCTCTCTCTCTCACACATACACACGTGCAGCTGTGCGGTTTTACTGTATGTACAAAAATGGAAGTTTTATAGGAATTGCACAGTTTGACTTCAGCTGCCTAACAGATGCTTATCAGCAGAAATAACATGCTACATGACATGTAGATCTCTTTTTGTCAAACTTTGAGAATTTTGTGAAAATTTCATGATGAATGGACCAGTACAAAATTGTGCTCCCAATTTGCTTGAAATAATCTTTACATTTACTTACATTAAGAGTAAAGAATGTTGCAGGCTTCTCCTACTCCATTTTGGAGATACTTGTGTTTCTTGGATAGTAACAATATTTCAATTCAATACAATAAGTCTCATGTAGAACACTCCATACATCACTAACCCCTTTCAATTGAGACAGTGGCTCTTTTAGTGATGTATCTGCGGTCGATCTCCTCATAGACTGCTTCAGTCAGAGTCTTACGCCTCCTCTTAGAGAGCACTGTGAGGGAGACAGAGAGAAACATGGAGCCAGTTCAGTAGAAGAAAAGACTGATGACAGACTGAAGGACTAATGATGTTTAGAGAATGTAAAGAAAGTGGATTGTAGATGATCTCTGGCTCTCTCTACCTCTCCTGAGCACTCTGTTCTGGTAAAACAGCACAACCAGAAGCACTAAGGCCAGGAAGAGCAGCACTCCCAGAACCAGGAGAGACACTGGATAGATGAAGAGGACAGCTGGTCGATAAGTTTGTGGAGGAATCCACTTTGCTGGCTGACCACCTTGAAATGAAAACAGAAACTGAACTATTTAATCAGAAACAATTAGAAAAATAAATTAAGGCATAAAAAGTACCTACGGAGGTGGAGATGATGTTTTTTTATTTTAGGAGAAAGAACAAACAAAACAGAAAATACAAACATACTACAAGCAAAATGAAGTCTTTAGTGTTATTTGGCATTTCTGATTTTGACTTGCAGAACATATTTGTCTCTCACTGTGTTTAGTGTTATAGACTCAATATTTTCCTTCATTAAGTTTGTCATTATCATTTAAAATACCACAAATTGTACAAAAGATCTGCCTACTTGAGCAGGTAATGCGAGCCACCTCAGTGTTTTTATCACAGTAGTTCTGTCTCCAGGGGGAAGATGGACAATGCCACAGAGTGGAGGCATGTTTCCTACATTTCAGATTATCCAGCCAGTTAGGAGCTGTTTCCACTCTTGCTTTGGCCCAAGACTCAATTCCAGATCTTCCACAGTTCAGCTCTTGACAGATCAAATTTACTGTTTTTTCATCCATCCCATTTACACACACATTACCCCAGGTTCCATTGTAGAACACTTCCAGATTTCCCTCACAGCCCTCAGTGAGTCTGATCTCTTTAAACTCTGATGAGAGAAAGAAAATTTTTGTTTGGAATGAGTTGAATGTATTCATATTTTTATATCCTAACAAATGCTGTAAAAATTATAAAATAGCAATGATATTTCGTGTATGTATAAAGTCCACTCTCAACAATGTATATCATGAAAAAAGTTAAAATAATGAAAGTGGTGTTTAATGCATTTTGAAAAAAAAAAACAACTATCAAACTACATGTTGCATTGTTTTTCTAAGTGAAAATAACTCCTCCTATACAAGGAACAAACTCAATGTGGCATTTTTCTGGTAATGTTAGCACTTTCTTAACTTTATCACTTTTTATTAAAAATATATAAAACGCAACAGGTACCGTGACTTTGCACAGTTAAACAATTTCAGTACAGCAAATAAACATTAATTGTGCATTTAAATGTGTATAAGTGTGTTTTCTGATGATAATATGTATTTATTGGCGTTTAGAAAACCAACAAAACCTGTCATTGGACCAGGGCTGACCAATGATGTTTTTATTTTTCATCACATACAAGAATCACGATTTTACCAATGATCCCATACAACTACTTTGTAAAAAAGTCTAAATCATTCTAAAATCACTGCTTTAAGTCTAATGTAATTAGTATGAGTTAGTGGTTAATTAGTTAATTGCATTTTAGTTGTCAATTGAAGTTATACAAAACACTGAAATCTTCAACATTAGCAACAGTTAGCCCACTTTACCTGAGCACACGACTCCTACATCCTCCTTGTGTCCACATTCATCCTCTCCACACAGCTGAAATCTGCAGTTCCACAGGGACGTCTCGTTCCCCTCACACTCCACCTCATTCAGCCATATGGGTCCAGTTCCAGGTCCAAACCAGGCTGGTACCGGAGCACTGAGGGCTGCTCCACACTGCAGCTGTCTGCAGACCACCTGTGCATCCTCAATATCTCACGTCATCACTCACTGTCCCCCATGAGCCGCTGTAGAAAACGTCCAGCCTTCCTGCACAGTCTCCCCCAGAGCCAACCAGCCTGATGGCTACATTAAGAGCTGTAACACACAAACATTACAGCAAACAACTACACAGAAATATACCAAAACATATTACTTTAAAACACGATAAACACTTTACTCTTCCTATTGCGAAAATTATATTAATACCTGTTTTTTCAGTAAATTCAAATAGATCGGTTCACATCAGCATTTGATTTTTTTTAGCTAGAGCAATGTTTCAGTGTCATAACACTTACCAGAGCAGGTGATTAAGAGCTGTTCTCTGGAGCTGCAGTTGACTGTTTCTGCACTGCTGCAGTTCCCCAGATGAGCTTCACTTCCAGAACAACTGAAACCCGTCACACACATGTGGCTGTGATCAGGACTGGATGGAGAGGAGCTGGAGAAGCTGAACATGGAGCCACAGCCCAGCTGTCTACAGACCACAGAGGCATCAGACTCACTCCAGGAGTCCAGCAGAACTCTCCTCCAGTCCTGCCTGAAGTACACCTCCACTTCCCCCTCACACTCCATCCCTCCAGACAACCGCACTCGCCCCTCATGTAACACCAGAGACGACCCTGAGATCATTTAATGAAAAATTTTATATTTCAGTGTGGCTGCCATGATACAATAATTTACAAACATGCTTTATATTATATATTATATAGATGGAGTAGACGTTTTGAGAGCTCACCATTACAGATGACTCCAGCATCCTGTTTATGAAAGCATGCAGTTCGACTCCATGATGAAATGGGACATTTTGACAGGTGTGTTTCGTTCCCCTGACAATCAAACATGTCAACCCAGATCTGGCCACTTCCCTCCCCAAACCAGTCTGACCCCGGGCAGCCCACGTACGGGCAGCCCACGTAACCCGGCCGGGCTCAGCCCGAAGAGGCAACGTGGGGAGACCATGTGGGCCCACCACCCGCAAGGTCCAGCATGGGGGAGCGGTGCAGTGCCATATAGGCAGTGGGAGATTGCGGGGCCTAGGCCTCTGCGGCAGAAACTGGCTCTTGGTATATGGAATGTAACCTCACTGGGGGGGAGGAGCCGGAGCTTGTGCAGGAGGTTGAGAGGTACCAACTAGATATAGCTGGGCTCAACTTCACCCACAGTGTCGGCTCTGGAACCAAACTCCTGGATAGGGGTTGGTCCCTCTCCTACTCAGGGGTTGCACAGGGTGAGAGGCGCTGGGCGGGCGTGGGGATACTCACGAGTCCCTGGCTGGCAGCCGTGCAGTTGGAGTTTGTCCCAGTGGACGAGAGGGTCGCCTCAATGCGAATTAAAATCGCAGAGAGGAAAACTCTGAAGGTTATGTGTGCTTATGCACCAAACAACAGGTCGGAGTATTCGGCCTTCTTGGAGCAAGTGGGCGGGGTTCTGGAAAGGGTCCCACCTACAGACTCCATAGTCTTACTGGGAGACTTCAATGCTCATGTTGGCAATGACTGGGAGACCTGGAGAGGCGTGATTGGGAAGAACAGCCTGCCCGATCTAAACCCGAATGGTGAATTGTTATTGGACTTCTGTGCCAGGCATGGATTGTCCATAACGAACACCAAGTTCAAACACAAGGATGTTTATAAGTGTACATGGTACCAGAGCTCCTTGGGTCATAGGTCAATGATCGACTTGTCGTTTCATCTGACTTGGGACCATATGTTCTGGACACTCGGGTGAAGAGAGGTGCTGAGCTGTCAACTGATCAACATCTGGTGGTGAGTTGGATCAGATGGCAGGGAAGACCGATGGTCAGACCCAGTAGGCCCAAGCGAATAGTGAGGGTGTGCTGGGAACGACTGTCAGAGGCCCCTGTTCGGAAGGATTTTAACTCCCACCTCCGGGAGAGCTTTTCTCATGTCCCGGGGGAGGTAGGGGACATGGAGTCTGAATGGACCGTGTTCAAAACCTCCATTGTGGAAGCCAAAAGCTTGTTGGTGCCTGTCAGGGTGGTAACCCAAGAACCCCCTGGTGGACACCTGGGGTGAGGGAGGCCGTCAAGCTGAAGAAAGAGGCCTTTAGGGACTGGATGGCCCGAAGGACTCCCGACTCAGCAGATAGGTAAATCCAGCAAAGCAAAATCCAGGGCATGGGAGGAGTTTGGTGAAGCCATGGAAAAAGACTTTCGGTCGGCCTCAAGGAGGTTCTGGGCGACTGTCCGGCGACTCATGAGCGGTCGGGGTGGCTGCACCCAAGCTGTATTCGGCAGGCGTGGAGAAACTCTGACTTCAAATGAGGATACTGTCGGTCAGTGGAAGGAGCACTTTGAGGAACTCCTTAATCCGGGAGACATGCCTCCCTCATGGGAGTCAGGGCCAGAGGCTTCTGGCGTGTCAAGCTCCATTTCCCTGGTGGAGGTCACTGAGGGAGTTGACAAGCTCTTCAGTGGCAAGGCACCGGGGGTGGATGAGATTCGTCCGGAGATGCTTAAGGCTCTGGATATTGTGGGGCTGTCGTGCAATATTGCATGGACCTCAGGAACAGTACCCTTGGACTGGCAGACCGGGGTGGTGGTCCCTATTTTTAAGAAAGGGGACCGGAGGGTGTGTGCCAACTATCGGGGTATCACACTGCTCAGCCTCCCTGGGAAAGTCTATGCCAAGGTGCTAGAAAGGAGACTTTGACCAATAGTTGAACCTCAGATTGAGGAGGAACAATGAGGATTCCGTCCTGGCCGTGGAACAATGGACCAGCTTTTCACCCTCTCACGGATTGTTGAGGGGGCAAGGGAATTTGCCAACCCAGTCTACATGTGTTTTGTGGATTTGGAGAAGGCTTACGACCATGTTCCCCAAGATATCTTGTGGGAGGTCCTCCGGGGGTATGGGGTGCCGGGGCTGCTACTCCAGGCCATTCAATCTCTGTACTCCCGGAGTGAGAGCTGTGTTCGTATACTCGGCATTAAGCCGGACTCTTTCAGTGTTAGCGTTGGACTCCGCCAGGGTTGGGCCCTGTCTCCACTCCTGTTCGTGATATTCATGGACAGGTTGTCAAGGAGTAGCCGTGGTCAGGAGAGCATTATGTGTGGAGGCCGGAGGGTGGCGTCTCTGCTATTTGCAGATGATGCTGTTCTTTTGGCTGGATTACATGGATGCCTCCAGGGCATACTGGAGCAGTTTGCAGCTGAGTGTGAAGCGGTTGGTATGCCGATCACCACCTCCAAGTCTGAGTCCATGGTCTTAGCCTGGAAAAGGATGGCATCCCCACTCCAGGTAAGGGGAAAGGACTTGCCCCAGGTGGAAGAGTTTAAGTATCACGAGTGATGGGAAGAAGGATCTTGAGATTGACCGCAGGCTGGGACAGGCAGCAGTACTAATGCGGTCGCTGTACCGGACTGTAGTGGTGAAGAGGGAGCTGAGCCCTAAGGCGAAGCTCTCTGTTTACCGGTTAGTCTACATCCCGACCCTCACCTATGGTCATGAGCTATGGGTAATGACCAAAAGAATGAGATCGCGAATACAAGCGGCGGAAATTAGCTTTCTTCGCAGGGTGGTGGGCTACACTCTATTTGATAGGGCGAGGAGCTCGGCCATCCGGGAGGACCTCGGAGTAGAGCCGCTACTCCTCCGCATTGAGAGGAGCCAGCTGAGGTGGTTCGGGCATCTGATCCGGATGCCCCCTGAACGCCTCCCGGTGGGGCGTACGAGGCACGGCCTACCGGGACAAGACCCCGGGGTCGTTCTAGGACGCGCTGGAGGGATTCTAACTCCAGGTTGGCCTAGAGAGTTTCTGCTCTCCCAACTGCTACCACGACTCTAGCTGGACTAAGCGGTTAACAATGATGATGATGAGAATGATAAAATACAAATCATTACCTGTAAACCACTGAAAGTGAAATACCTACTGAACACATAATATTTTATTTTAATGAGAGATCAATTATTTATACTAACCAGAACATATAGGTCCCACATCATTCTCATGTTGACAGTTGTGTTTGAGTGAAGATGATGTTGGACAGAAGTAAATCTGAGATTCGTTGCCTCGACACTGAAGCTCCTCTGACCACACCTGACCCTTCCCTCTGCCAAAAGCAGCTGCTGCCAGCACCTCCACAGGAAGCCCACAGCCCAGCTCTCGACACACAACCTCTGCATCCTGCTGTTCAAAGTCACCATCACACACTGTGGACCAGGTATTCACACGAAGCACCTCCACTCTCCCAGAGCAGAGACCAGGACCATCAGCAAGTCTGGACTTTCTGTGATCTGTGTGCATTTGAATCACATTAAGACAGAACATAGTATATTTACAGATATTAAAAACAATGCTAAAAGTAATAATAGTGTGTAACAATGGATCTTAACATTGTTCAGTGTGTATAAGCCATTTTGCAAGATTTCTACCTCCCCTGCTTTTTAATGTACTTCAATTATTTTATTAAAGTGAAGCCCAAAATGTTTAGATGGAATATTAGCTTTCATAATTCAAGTTTGACTGGCCAAATTCCAAGACGTACTCTAAGATGAACAGCTCTCTATGACGGACAGAGATAGCAAATTTCACTCCTTCGTTTTAGCTAACAGGTAAAAGCTGCCAGATGAAATTAGCTCAATGACAGTCTTCTAACAAAACAAACT